ATCGATGGTTAAGCTGGTACCTAATAAGCATCTCCAGGTGTACATGTTGACATGTAGATGCATCTTTTGCTTAATTATTAATATACTCCTCTGATCCATCTGTCCAAAATGTAAGTCATTTTATTTTTGTTCCGATTATTCAAACTTATCAAAATTGATCAAGTCTATAGAGAAAATATTGCATCATCATCTCTACACCATAAAACTAGTTAAATATACCACCAAAAATATTTTGATACCACATCTATTTAGTATCATAGATGTTAATTTTTTTAATAAAAATATAGTAAAAAACTAGAGATATTTGACTTAGGACAAAACTAAGACATGACCTGTATTTTCGGACAAAGGGAGCACAATTTAAGAATCACAAAGTTTAAGTTGCTTTGATAAAAAAAGAATCACAAACTTACAATGGAAAAAAAAAAAACGCTATGAGGATTCATTAATTCGCAATACGGCGGCGCAACGCCACATATGGTTTATAGTTAGTATAATTAGCGATAGCTTTCGGACGCCCCTGTTTTCTTCCCTGTCATGTTCCACCTAATACGCTGCTATCAGTTTTATATATATCCAAATGGTGGGTCTTAGATTAATATTGCAACTTGCAACTTTCTTGCCTAAGCATGCCTGTTGTTTAGTCTCAAGTGTTTGTCGAGTAACAAGTCATCGATGGTGTAAACATGAACAAGAAATGGCGAAGGATCTCCACCTTGCTTCACGTATTGAATCCAACAGTATTTAGTTTTAAAAAGTAAAATTGACGGAATCAACCAGGTGCACTAATCATATTATTATAGGAATCTAGAACGAGTATATTCAATGCCTTGCCCATCGCACTTGACGGTAAAACTCATAGGAAGCACCGGCCGTTGGAATAACTAAGTTTACGTTGATCAATTATTACCAAAGTATTATATAAACCTCCTCGCAAAAAATATTAATTATATGGACCAATATTTCCCATGGTTAATTGTAATCTCAGATTGACACGACGTTGGTAGGCATGTTCATGGGTTTCATATATGTAGAGAGCGATAACGATTTCCCGCCAATTACTACTACCTTTGTTTGTATAATCAAATAATACTATGTTCACTCAAACTAAGGTAGATTGCAACAGGATTAGAAAACAAGTGTGGTATCTATGTTGTTGTAGAGACTAGCTAGAGAGTTCACTGTCCTAGCTAGAAACATGTATCGTCTTCTCCACACTCTTAATTAGCTGGGGTTTTCACCGATCGTACGTTGATTTCGGAGAAGCTAAGCTACCAAAAGACTCCAATTTTGCCTAGTAAAATAAGTTTAAAGAAACTATTCTCGACATGTAGCTATCTAACCGTTCTTGTTGTTTTTCCTGTTGTAAATCACTCTGCTGAAGAACCGCTTATTATGGCCGGCCACCCCGATCAAAATGTCCGTAAACGACGGTACCAACGAAACCCACAACGAAAAATATATAGCAGGTCGTAGTAGTCGTTATTAGGTACCAGGAAAATTATGGAATCAACAGCAGGCAGCTAGTAATAGGAGGACAGCTAAAGGTAAGCATGATCCACAGTGGTTTGCTACGCGTTGTTGTGAGCGACATCAGACGACGTTGCTGTACGCAACGTCTGCAAGACGACTTGAACCATATCCCCGTTTGAGCTTTGACAAAGAGGAAAAAGGAGACCAGCTGGAGAGGTGAATATTCTGAAATCAGCGGCTCTTCGAAGCCGCGCAGGGAATAATCAATCAACGTGCACCCGTGACCCGCCCACGGTCAAGATGCGCCAAGGGGCGTCAGCGAGCGCGGCCGAACCAGGCGCGCCAAGGGTCGTCGCGCGCCCTTTGGCCGGCATGCATTAAACGAGCACGAAAATGACGTGGATGGTGGAGACGCGCGGCCGGCACGGTGGCTTGTTGCCTCGTCCCGGCGCCGGATTGGCCGCCGTCGCCGTCGCCGCCGTGGCATGCAGCGCGCGCGGGACTGGAAAGTCGTCACCCGTGACGACCTGCCCGGCTCACGCTCGCCGCGTCGGACCAAACTGCTCCCCGCCGCCAGAGATTCCCCGAGTAAAATAAGGCCAGGCCACAGGTCAGCATGCCATGGCTCGACGAATGGTACGGCGGGTGACGTACATGCGGGCCCTGGAGGCGATGACCCCACGTGTCACTGAGAGAGGTGCTGCGTCTGGGTCGGTGGAGATCGAGGCTTACGAGTACGAGAGCAGAAAATAAAAAGCCAAGCATGCGCCGTTCGCGATAAGACCTTGGGCTTATCACCCAGCCCAGCACTAGCATCCACTGCAGCTGGGGTCAAGTCGGTCGGTCGTCGGGCCACACGTCAGTGGCAGCGTACTGTACACAAGAGTGGACGGCGACAGCCGACAGGCTGTCGCTCACGCCGACGTCGAGAATCACGCGTGAGGAGGGCGCCCGGTTCCATCGCGCACACGTAGGACCACAGCCTCTGACGCGTGGGGCCCGACGGACGCAGCGGGCCCACGTCGAGGCCAAATAGGAGAAGCTATCGCGACAGCCTGGGGGCGCCGGGGCGTCGCGCTCGCTGCTGCGCATCGCCGCGTCGACCAGGTCGGGTCAGCGACACATGCGGACCCGCTGCCCGCTTCGGGCAGCCGCGCCGAGGGGACAGGCGGGCCCGTCCAGTCCGATCCAGGGGCTCTGCACCTGCACCTGCACGGGGCGCCGTGACGTCGCCCGCGCGCGCCACGTCACCCGTGCCGTGCGGCTCCGCGACGCCGTGCTGTGTTTCCTGTTGCGTGCGCGCGCGAGAGATCGGAGACGCGGACGCAGCACGCCCACCGCGTCCGTGCGCCGCAGCGAGCTCCCGTCGTTTCGGCGACGACCACAAGGCCCACCAGGCGGGTAGGCGAGCGCTCGGATGCCAGCGGATATTCGCGCTGCTCCGGTCCTCGTCCTCGTCAACTCCCGATGGTTCAGAGCTTCAGAGCCGCACACAGAAGAAGCCGCATGTAGGTGGATCCATCGAGCTAGCTAGCTGCTGCGTGCAGGTTGCAGGTTGCAGGTTAGTTTTGTGTCGGCCCATGTGCGTCTGCAAAAGGCGGATCTCCGCTCCGATTAGAAAACCAAGATACGGGCATCCAACTGCCAGCGCGATCACGCCAAAGTACCGACCAGAATCGTAAATGTCAGGAGAGCCTGTTAATTGTTTATACAGCGCGTAAAAAAATACAGCCAAAATTTGGTGGGGATCAGGTCTAGTTTGTCACTGTAGGCTTAGCATAATTAATGCAATGATCACTACGAATTTTATATCAAAATTAGATTAAATTACGAAAACCACGAGAAATTTTGGTAATCTGGCATTCCAAGGGACTAACAGTTAAGGTCTTGCTTTGATCCATCTAGCTAACCATTAAGTGTGTTAGCTAGGAGTAATTGTTAGCTAGGTGATAGATAAGACATTAGCTGGACTTATTAGCTAAGGATCTAAATAGGTTCTCAACTAGATTTTTAGCATCTAATTGTATTAGTTTTAGGGATCCAAACAGGCTCTAAGAAACTATAGTAGGTAGAGAAAAGATTTGATGAGATTCTGTTTCGATCAAATTAAACCTCTAACAGTTACTCTAGGTTTGAAAGTAACTCTTGGGACCTTATTATAACACTCACTTCTCTTCTTCGCACAAATGCCTCACCAAGGTATGAGCATTCTAGGCAGCTACAATTACAATTTAGGTCATGTTTGAATCCATGGAGCTAATTGTTAGTTGCTAATATTATCTCCTTTACATCAAAATAGATCCAACTGATAGTGTAGCTAATTGTTAGCAAATACCCAATTAACAACTACTTCACTAGTTGGTCCAAACCAACTAATTCCAGATAGCCATACCAGCTAGTAGCTACTAATGGATCCAAAAATGACCTTAACTAGTTAATTCAAACAACGGCTAGCTACCTAGCTAGTAGCTAGTTGTTAGCTAGCAAATATTAATGATCAGTTATGAACCAGCTACTATAGGATCCTAACAAATCTTTTGTAAAACAAAATAATTAATTCGATTTGCTATGTACAAATTTTGCAAAAGACTTCTGGCAAGTTAACTTTTCACAATCTAACAACACTAATGAGTTTCCAAACATATTCAAAAGACTTCTGGCAAGTTAACTCCATTTTAGAAGTTCACCTTATGGATTTGGTAAAATTTCCACTAGGTATTGCATATCGTTATCCCCACCCATCCCAAAATGAAAAAACCGAGAAATATTATACAATTCTTTTTTAAAAAAACTAGGAAAATCAATGCGTAGCTACAAATTTTGACGCTTGGGAAGAGCGCCGCTTTTAAAAATAAACCTACAATTTCGATGCACATACCGCCGTAAAGCTGACCAAAATGCGCTTGGTGATCATCAAAGTTTGAGCCTAGGGAATCAGGGCGGAATCGACCGGTGATTACCTCAGCAGGTGTTGTTATTTTAATCGCCAGCCACGGGGGCTCCACCAAGTGGACGATGGGAATCTCCACTGCCAAGCATAATAAAAAAAACCGTTTCCTAATAAAAATAATATCAGAGAAAACAACAACACCAGGCAGGTACGGCACGACACAGACACAGAGGCCCTGCCCCGGGCGGCGCCAAAACAGCTGACGCAAGCGATGACAAAATCCTCCGTCGCCCTCGCATCCCACCGCCCACTCGTCCCTCTCCCCCGTCCGATGCCCGACACGCGTCCGTTTCTGCGTCGGGTCAACCTGCCTGCCTGTGCTCACCCCACCCGCACCGCGAGGGTCCGGCCCACCTCCTCCCCAAGTAGCACGTGCGTCACATCGAGCCCGCCCGTCGACACGTGTTGGCCCACCACCGGTCTATAAGTAACCACGGGTACGGCTGCGCGATGTTCCATTCCAAAAGCTCTCCAGTCTCCTCCAACCAGAGGCCGATTGAAGACAAGACCCCAGCAATCAGCTGAGCTCTCCTCGTCTCCAATCCCGGCGGCTGTTGCTAGGTGACCGATCGATCGAATGGACTGCGGTGGCGCGCTGCAGCTCCCGCCCGGGTTCCGGTTCCACCCCACCGACGACGAGCTGGTGATGTACTACCTCCTCCGCAAGTGCGGCGGCCTGCCGCTCGCCGCGCCGGTCATCGCCGAGGTCGACCTCTACAAGTTCGACCCATGGCAGCTCCCAGGTCCGTAGCTAGGCACACCCAACGATCTGATTATCAGTCAGTGCTAAATCCGAGGTGACCTGACCTCACCAGCTTTTGCGATCGACTGGTTGCAGAGAAGGCGTTCGGTGGGGAGAAGGAGTGGTACTTCTTCTCGCCGCGCGACCGCAAGTACCCGAACGGGTCGAGGCCGAACCGGGCGGCCGGGACGGGGTACTGGAAGGCCACCGGCGCCGACAAGCCGGTGGGGTCGCCGCGCCCCGTGGCCATCAAGAAGGCGCTCGTCTTCTACGCCGGGAAGCCGACCAAGGGCGTCAAGACCAACTGGATCATGCACGAGTACCGCCTCGCCGACGTCGACCGATCCGCCGCCGCACGCAAGAAGACCAACAACGCGCTCAGGGTAATTATACTGACTGCTCCATCCACGACCTTGCTGCTTATTCATAATCATAGCTGAGGGGATATTTTCTCTTCCCAAAGAACCGACAGATAGGCCTCGTTTAGTTCCTCCCAAAAAATTTTACACCATATCTTAACGAATATTTGGACACATGCATGAAGTATTAAATATAAACTAAAAAATAACTAATTGCATAGATTGTGACTACTTTGCGAGACGAATATTTTAATCCTAATTAATATATGATTTGACAATGTGGTGCTACAGTAACGCCCGCGCTAATGATGGATTAATTAGGCTTAATAAATTCGTCTCGCGGTTTATTGATGGATTTTGTAATTTGTTTTTTTATTAGTATACGAATACCCCATGAGACGCCCCCGTATAACACCCGATATGACACCTTGGATTTAAACGAGGACTTACTTTCAGCTAGAGAGAAAAAGTTATAGAGGATTAAAAAAAGGGATTGATCGATCTTTGTTTTTACCAATGTTACAATAAGAAATGGTGGGAATGCTGTGTTGTTGTTAGGTTTGCAACTATGCAGATTAGTTAAGAAGAGGAATTGAAAAAGGTAGGCGTGCAAATTGTCCATTTGCAGCAGCTAGCATGCTCGAGTTGTCCCTTTCGCGACAGCGCGAGCAGCTACTTGGGCAGGGCAGGGATAGGCTCTAGAGACATGTAAAGCGCGGGCGGGCGGCGTGGCGTCACGGCTCACGCACGCCGCGATAGAGACAAGCACGGGCAACCATGGCGGGCGGGCGAGCGCCAGCCAGCCAGAGCCGCCTGATCTTATCGCCCACGCCCGCGCACAAATGACACCACACGCGCACCGAATCCGACGTTACGTCGTCACGTCGGCCTCATCTCCAAGCCTCCTCCATCCAACGCGTAGTAAAAAACCAATCAGCTTCGACTGACTTTTCACTGGGATTTCGCGTGGATTTGGTGGCGCTGAATCTTGTTGTCTCTTCGATCTTCTTGCAGCTGGATGACTGGGTGCTGTGCCGGATCTACAACAAGAAGGGCGTGATCGAGCGGTACGACACGGTGGGCGACGACGGCGACGACGCCGTGGCCGACGACGTCAAGCCTGCGCCGGCGCGGGCGGCGTCCAGGAACAACCCGCGCGCCGGTGCCCGCGGCGGGGCGGCAGCGGCGCCGATGAAGGTTGAGTTCCCGGAGTACGGTGGGTACTATGACTACGACGACCTCGAGACGCCGTCGGCGGGGATGCTGTGCTTCGACCGCCCGTCTGCCGCGGTCCCGACGGCCCCGGCCCCCGCGCCCGCGATCTCGCCGGCGCTGTCGTCGCCGCCTGCGGACGCGGACCTCGACCCGGACCGCGACGACTCGAACAACTCCATGCCGTGGACGACGCACCACCACACGCACACGGACAACTCCAGCTGCGGGTCCGAGCACGTGCTGTCGCCGTCGCCGGACCTGCCCGACCGCGACCACGCCGAGAGCCAGCCGGGCGCCGGCGCCGCGTGGTGGCCCGTCGGCGGTGGCGATTGGGGAAGCGCCGCCGTTGCCGAGGACGGGTTCATGGTCGACGTCGACATCGACGATGGGAGCTCGCTGTTCGGGCCGCCGTCCCCGGGGCTGTTCGCCCGCGTCGACGCCGCCGCGTTCGGCGACATGCTCGCGTCCTACCTGCACAAGCCGTTCTGAAGCGACGCGAACGCCAGCGCCGCGCCGCGTTGCCTTCCGTTCTCCTCTGGGCCACTGACCACTGACATGGACGTTCTGGTCGATCGTCGTGTAGTTCTGTTCGGGTCGAATTGCGAGCCGGTCTAGGTGTAGTGCAGGTGCAGCAAAGCCACCGCCGGTGAGTTCTCAGGTGTTCATTCATTCAGATCGATGTACAACTGGTAATCGTACATTCGTACACGATCTCTGCACCTTGCAATTGGGCAGCAGCCGCGTGGAGATGTGGATGACTGGTGATCATGGTTGGTAGAGAGCTAGCTAGCCGTCGGATCGGGTCTCGGATTAATCTAACCGTCGGTTTTTGGTCGGGTCAAGTAGCTGACAACTTAAGAATCCAAGCCTACTGGATTCAGGGGCTGTTGATGGTATGGTTGTATGTAATCTTGTCTAGCTGTACTTAGAATTGGTTCAGGTTCAGGTTCAGGTTCAGGTTGGTGGCAAACAGGCAGCAACGCGCTGTAGGTTTTGTTGAGTGTTGTATGGGTATGCACTATAATGGCAACGTCACTAGAGTCGCTCTCAGCGGTCGCTTTCTCGTGACCGGGCCGGAAGCCAAAAATTTTGTAATGCAATTATGCTAATAAATTATGTACGTCTGTGCCTCTTGCTCTTTGCTGGCCTTCTGCCTAATCTGAATGAATGGATGTTTTGGTGCAGAAAGTTAACAAAAAGTGCCTTTCGATCAGAAAATCAGGAGTGTGTGCAGGACACACAAATAGAAGTGCAGATTTGTGTGCCGTGACAGTGTTCTGCAGTAAAAGAGTTTGGATTTCATGTCTTTCGTGACAAAGTGCTGTCTCTTTCAGCGTGCTACCCTCTTGTGGCACTTTTTGTCACGGGGAATGTCATGCTGGGAATATCATGCCGATGCTGAATCCTAGTCATGGCATGATGCGGCTGCGAAATGTCAAGAGCGAGCGACCTGATTTTGAACCATCACCACTCATGCATGCATGCATGGCTGCGACCTGCGAGACAGAGGCGACCAAGGTGCCTTGAGCATCACATCCGAGCCCTAGAAAGCACTGCATCACATCACACCGCTCGTTGCTTCCTACTGTGTCTGTTGACATGAGAGGTGTAGTAGGGTCGAGACGAACAGACGACGATGATACTTGAAACATCATTTCTACAGATTCCGTTTGTTGCAGACTGATCTGGGACACAATTCACTGCTCCCTTCCCTCCGTCCCTAGATATCTATCTTCCTTGCTTTCCGAGAAATAACTTTGATTAATTTTATATAAAAAATATTAATATTTATGATGCATAATTGATATCATTAGATAGATCTTTGAATCTAGTTTTTTAATAAATTTATTTGGAGATACAAATGTTGCACGTATTTTTTCTACAAATCTAGTCAAAGTTGTGACACGAAAACCCAAAACGACAAATAATAAGGGATGGAGGGAGTATTTCACTGCACCAAATTTTGTCTCTAACTCTCGGTGTACCGGAGATAATTCAGTTTTACTACTCAGTCCCAAAGTTTCGTTGAGTTAGGGCCTGTTTGATCAGTTTTAGATTCTTAAAAACCAACTATTACCTTTAGTTTTTAAAATCTAGTTTATGAGCAAAATCTGATGGGTGTTTGGATCCCCTAATTTTCAGAAGCTGGTTTCATTTATGATTAGTGCTAATAGACTATTGTACCCTTCATTTATTGCTCTTAAACAGCCATGACGTGGTCTTTAATGAGGGCAAATGGGTACTTGTGCAAATAAAAACTGGCAATAGCTAGGTCTGATCAGCTTATGGGTTTTTAAGAATCTGGGTAGGTACATTTTAAAAACTGCCTCAAAATCTGGTCTGTTTGGATCCTATCTAGTTTTTAAAAGCCAGATTCTTAAAATCTGGGTGAATCCAAACAGACCCTTAATTTATTACATGGATAAGGAGCAATCCGACACAAAACACCCCCACATACATCGAAAAAAGAGAGCAAAAAGGCTATCCATAACATAGGGGTGTTCCAAGCAGCCACAGGTCTAGGAAAGGAACTTATCTAGAAAAAAAGCCACTACCACCTGAAATCCAAAGCCATGGAACATCTTCCGAGAGCTGAATGATGAAAGATTCATCGATTGTGCTAATCCAAAACGTTCCACAAAAAGTAAACCATTAATCCATCGAATTCTCACAAGTCCTCTTTATGGATTGTCTGCCTTGCCTTCATCCAACATTTTGTAAAGGACCCTGAGAGGTCATGAATTAGAAATTGATGAAGACCAAACCACGGTAGGATGGTTGCCTAGACTTGTTAGGTGAAAGAGCGATCTTTGCAAAGATGTTTAGGGGTTTTCGGTTGTGATTTACAGAAACTACTCTAAAGTTAACAGTCTTAATAGCCAAACATATAGTCTTGGATCTCTGATGAAAAAATGTCTTCTACATTTTATTAGGACCGAGATATTGGAAACTTTGGAGGAACCAAAACAAGTATGCCCCATCTTTTTTTAGCCACTTGAAAAACTAATTGATTTGCCAATTGCTTTTTTGGAACTATTGGAGATGCTCAAAGATAATGTAGTACTCCTTGTCTCCTTCCATTTTAAATTATTAATCATTTTGGCTTTTGTAGATACATAGTTTTTGCTATGCATCTAGATATATATTATATCTACATACATGATAAAATGTATGCGTCTACAAAAGTCAGAAGGACTTATAATTTGAAACGGATAGAGTAATTAGCAACTGTGGCATGCTAGTTCTTTTTGGTCTTATATGTCAAGTATGTTCCCAGCCTTGTCAAATAGAGTTTGCGTTTGTCTACTTATCTGAATTTTTGCTTCAAAGAGTTATTCGCAAGGCGTCCGGACAGCGTGGTACGAGCACGCAACCTAGCCCATGTAAAAGTTGCCTTATAAGCCCAGCCCATTGGAAACTGTGCTTATAATTTGTGACGTTTCCATTCATTGTTGTCCAGCTGTGTGTTTCTTGTGCCAATGTTCTCGATGTTTCAATAGGCAACTAAGACGCGAGTAATATATTTTGAACGCGAGTTGGATTGTTCAAATTGAAACAGAATCAATCATGACGATAACTTCCTGATGGTTGCATCCATATACATACAGTACGTATACAGTATGGGCTTGCAAAAGACAGCACATTCCTGAAAGCATTCAAATTCTAAGACCTACGAAAACATACAAAACATTCAAATCAGAATGCATGTTTTGGTGCCTGATGCTCTTTGCTGGCCCGTTTGGATCCCATTAGCTAAACTTTAATCCTTCACTTTTTCTTAGTTTTAGCATTTGTGAAACCAAACAGGTGGCTTAAAAGGGAATGACTAATTTTTAGCCTCCATTAGTCCATTTGCCCCTTAAGGTGGGCTAAAAGGGCTAAAAGTGTTTTTACTCTCTTTCTCTCTCCTCTCCCTTTCATCTTTTAGTCATCTTTTAGCACCTGGATCTAAACAGCTATCTTAGGCTAAACTTTAGTCCAAGGACTAAAGATCCAAACATGCGACTGTGCTCGTACAAAAAGTACCTTTCAGAAGTCTTTCGGAAGTCAGGACTCTGGAGCGTTCGTACACACTAGAAGGGCATATTTGTGCGCCGTGACAGTGTTCTGCAGCAAGGAGGTGTTTGGTTTGGGGTGACTAAACTTTAGTCACCCCCAATTTAGTCCATTTAATCACTATGAAGCCAAACACCCTGACTAAACACTACCTAAAAGGCTTTTCATCATCTAGTCACTAAAGAGTGACCAAAAGGGACTAAAACTCTACTTTGGACGAGGGCTGCCCCTCATTATTGCCCTCTGTCCACCCCAACTTTGACATTTAATAAGGACATTGTGATCTTTTGTCATCAGGTTTAACCTCTTTTAGTCACCAATCTAAACACACTAGGAGTCTATGGACTAAAGTTTAGTCAAGGACTAAACCAAACCAAACAAAGCCTAAAAGGTTTTAGATTTTTGTCTTTCGTGATTAAGTGCTGTCTCTTTCAGCGTGCTACCCTCTTGTGGCACTTTTTGTCACGGGAATGTGATGCTGGGAATATCGTGTCCATGCTGAATCCTAGTCATGATGCAGCTGCGAAATGTCAAGCGACCTGCTTTTGAACCATAATGACTCATGCATGGCTGCGACCTGCGAGGCAGGGACAACCAAGCGAGCTCTGTGCAAGTGGCTTGATGCCTTGAGCATCACATCCGAGCTCTAGAAAGCACTGCATCACATCACCTAGTCGTCGCTTCCCACTATGTCTGTTGACATGAGAGATGTAGAGGGTGGCGGAGCACGAACAGACAACGAGATATATCCGAACGGACTTGCTAGTGCCCGGACGTCCGTTTCAAGGCGCTAGCATCGGACGGTGCTCGCGTAGCAAGCTAGCGAGTGTCCCTAGCTACGCCGGACTTACGAGCAAGGGCCCCAGCAGCGAGCCCGCGCCACCCCGGATGTTGCCCGCGCTGTCAGACCGCGCGCGGGGGACCGGCTCACGCCCTCTCCCGCTTCCCTTGCGCATCCCATTTGCAGCAGCTCGATCTACTTTTGAAACATTCAAATGCAACACTTGCAGCATACCCCGTATAAAAGAAAACAGATGAAACGCTTGAAACATGCGTCTGAAACACTAGCAAAAACACCTGAAGAACATTTAAAAACCATTGCAAACATTACGCAACATCCAGATAAAATACTTGCAACATATATGTGAAACATATGCAACTTCTTGATAAACACACTTGCAGGCGCGTCCCGGCAAAATATGAGGCCCAGTTCGAAACAAATAGGTGGTGGAGGCCTAATATCTAGTGCCAAAACAAGAAAATAATAACAAGTATCAATATATTACTTATATTACAAATTATAGTAGTATAGACCAAGGACTATATCTGTTGTATAACCATCACTTGAAAAGTGATATTTGTATACCTGTTGCATTAGGAAAACACTCAGTCGCTTAAAAAAAATTAGAATTTCGACTGGGCCTTTTATTTTC